GATTGATTCCGCCAGCTTCAACTTTCTCAACCACGCATCCTACGTATTTCAAGCTTCACCACTCTACTGTGGTTAGTCGCATACATGTTAGGAAATATTTTGTCATATTAACTTTCAACTATGTCCATATTATCTTCTACTTTTTGACACCCCTCCCAACCTCTCCCTATCACTCTCCCTAGCTAACAAAAAAGCTTAAAATCACCTACAGCTTCTTCTCATTTTCGAAGGAATCAGTCTCCCCTCAGCTGCGTATTCTGTCTTCATAAGCGCGATGAATACCGCAAATAAGGATTCGTGGCACTCAGGGGGAGGTGGATCGCAATCTCATCCTGGAGTTGACCAGATGAACCAGCCCCCAACACGGCCTCTGGGATCTTATGGGTGAGTCGTTTCTTCTCTTTTGGCACAAACAGCTCCTTGTGTCATCATCGTAATAGATTGCAAACCATTCTTTATTGAGCTCTTTGACACTAACGTATCTCTTTTGATATCATAGTGAGCTCCTCTTTCCATTATTCCCTTGTTTGCCGTCACTCAGATGCGACAACAGCGCCAAGATCTGGGGGAGAAGCACAATGGTACTCCATGGAAGGGCAGAAACTTGCAAGAACTGACTTGTTTCCCGTTATATAGGCCCGTACCATCCTGTCAACCAGCCCTCCGGGCATACACTCCCAGCTCTATCAGATTTAACTCAAGGCGCTGGCGCCCCTCCAGCATCTCACCAAGCCCCTCCTAGATATGGCCAGCATAAACAGCCATCTCATCCCCCAGGCCATGCTCTTCCCGGCATTGGTCAGTCGATGCAACATTCACCCCAACAAGCCACTTTGAATCGCGAACGCGAAAGAGACTCGAGAGAGCGAGAGCGAGACCGTGAGCTCGATAGACAACGAGAGCTAGCTCGCGAGGACGAAATGATACAAAGAGAGCGCGAATACCGAGAACGAGACCGGGAACTCATGGATCGGTATAATCGTGACCAACCGCATCACCCTGTACAAAGCCATGCCGGTCCCATTCCTATTCACCAACCCGTGGCATCGAAAGGCCACAACCCGCTTGGTGGGCCCAATGGTCTCCTCTCGAACCTCGGTGCAAATGCTGCGCCTAACCCTCCACAAGGCTCTATTCCTAGTTCGAATGCCCCTGGGGCCTTATTTGGGAACCAGATGCAACAGCACACAGATGGCCCTCCCAGAACATATCTCCACCAAGGCCAGCCGCCTCAGCAGTCGATGCTTGGGTTCAATGGTAATGCACCACCTCAGATTCCAGGAAGTGTATCTGCATTAGCACAAGGACAACAACCAATTTTAAACGTAAGTTGACATCTCCGGGGAGTGTCTTCCCATTTGTGTGCTCCCCTTTTTCTTTTTTTGTTCGGCAATTGGACTAGAGAGGTTTGGAGTTTCAAGATCCATTACGCACAAAAAATGGCTTTATGGGATGTGATGATATTCGTTGAGAAACGGCCTTTTGGCACTGCTGCGCCTCGAGTGCTTAGAAAGCCATTTTTTCACACGGTTTTCGAACCACGGCTCAAAGAATACGCCTATTGACAATGGCGTCATTCTCTGGAACATTTAGCTAACCCAAAACTATACGTTTGTGCCCTGGGAATAAACCCATTTGTCGTTGAACTCATTTCTTGTCTGGATTCAATACTTCCTGAAATCGTTCTTTGCTGTCTTCCTTGCACCGCTGGAAAACTGGCTGGGCGTGTACTAATGGCAAACGATTGACAGGATGCATTAAGCTATCTTGACCAGGTGAAGGTTCGATTTGTCGAACAACCTGATGTCTATAACCGTTTCCTGGATATCATGAAAGACTTCAAAAGTCAAGCGTAAGTGCCATTTGAAAACCATAGTCAGGAGTGGAAAATACTAACTCGCTTCCGTAGAATTGACACACCTGGTGTTATCCAAAGGGTTTCCACCCTGTTCAATGGCCACCCGACCCTTATCCAAGGATTTAACACGTTTCTGCCGCCCGGATACCGAATCGAATGTGGCACTGAAGATAACCCAGATGCGATTCGGGTGACAACTCCGTCAGGTACAAACACCATTTCAATGCAATCGGCAGCAAGACCATCTTTGGAAACAGCGGGTGACTCTGTGCCGCAAGGTGGCTCTGCACCTGCCGCCGGATCTGATTACTATGACCAATCTCGTGCCGGATGGCAGCAACCACCCATTCAAAGCCAACAACAGCAACAACCACAACAGATGTCAAGGATGAATATTGGCCCTGGCGGACCTTATTCTCCAAAAGGACATTTAATGCCATCTGCCATGTACAGTGGAAAACAAGGCGCGCAGAATCAACCCCAGGAGTCTGCTTACGACTACCCGGGCCAACAAGATCTACAAGCGCAAAGTAACGCTGCAGCAATTGCTCACCAGCAAGAACAACGTGGTGTTTCACAGTTGCAGAGTGCCGTGTCTGCTGCAACAGCAGGCTCAGGGCGATCATCAGTCATGAATATGGGAGGTATGCAACCGCAGGGCCCGACCCAACCCATGAATAACCTGACCGGTTTGGGCCCCGGTGTGCTTCAAGGTGTGCAGGGTGATATGAGTAAACGTGGTCCCGTTGAGTTTAATCATGCTATTAGCTACGTTAATAAGATAAAGGTATGCGCTCCTTATGGTTGTCAGTAGCCCACATATAGATAAGCCATTTGCTCACCCACTATGTTTTTTGGATAGAACCGCTTTGCCGATTCTCCCGACACATATAAACAGTTCCTAGAAATCCTCCAGACATACCAACGAGAGTCGAAACCAATTCAGGATGTTTACGCTCAGGTTACGCTCCTTTTCAACTCTGCCCCGGACCTTCTAGAAGATTTCAAACAATTCCTTCCGGAATCAGCAGCCCAAGCAAAAGCTCAAGCAGCAGCAGCTCGCCAATTAGCTGAAGAGGCTACGCCTCTCAGTAATATACGAGGTGAGCCCGGATATGCAAGCTCCTCCACCTTGCTCCAGGCTCAAAACCGTGATGTCAAAATGCCCCCTCTGGGCCAGTTTAACGTGAAGGAACATACAAAAGATATAAAAAAACGACGTGGCCAACCTCCCTCGCAGCCCCCAGGGGGTACCGGTTTGGGAACATCATCAAATGTAGTGGCTGATTCTGCTAGCATCACCAGCAGTCAGGCAAACAGGGCTCCAGGTACGCAGCCAGGCACCGCCGGCAAGAGAGCCAAATTGAGTCACAAGCCGACGACCCAAGTTGAAGTTCCCCCTGTGGTATCTCCAACACTCGTCCCAGCTCTTCCAGAACCGATTTCTCCCACCTTTACTCTCACTCCGTCTCATGAAGAATATGCATTTTTCGATCGCGTCAAGAAGTACATAGGGAACAAGCAAACTTTTGGTGAATTCTTGAAACTTTGCAACCTTTATTCGGCGGACCTGATCGATAGAAATATCCTTATCAACAGAGCGGCTAGTTTCATAGGGGGTAACCAGGAAATTATGTCATGGTTCAAGAGATTTATGCACGTTGAGCCTAAGGATGAGATCATTGAACCGAAAGCCAAACCTGAGTCTGGCGTTGTTAATTTATCCCATTGCCGAGCCCTTGGTCCTAGTTATCGACTGCTGCCGAAGCGTGAGCGCCAGAAGCCTTGCAGCGGTCGTGATGATATGTGCCAGAGTGTTCTTAATGATGAATGGGCGTCACACCCCACGTGGGCCTCAGAGGATTCGGGCTTTGTTGCCCATCGCAAAAATCAGTATGAAGACTCTCTCCACCGTATTGAGGAGGATAGGCATGATTACGATCATCACATCGAAGCTTGTATTCGTACCATTCAGCTTATGGAACCCCTTGTCCAGCAAATGGCGACAATGACTGAAGCTGAGAGAGCGAATTTCAAACTCCCTCCTGGGCTTGGAGGGCAAAGCGAGACGATTTACAGGAGAATCATTAAAAAGATTTATGATAGAGAGCGTGGTCAGAGAGTTATTGATGAGATGTTTGCACGACCATGCAGTGTGCTTCCTATTGTTCTTGCCCGGCTTAAGCAGAAGTGCGAAGAATGGAAAGCTAGTCAAGTAAGTAACCCCTTAGCTCCTATACTGCGGGTGTGCGCTTCAAGCGTACTAATGGTGTTTCGCAGCGTGAATGGGATAAAGTATGGCGCGAGCAAATGCAGAAAGGCTTTTGGAGAAGTCTTGACCACCAGGCTATAATCATGAAAGGATCCGACAAGAAACTGTTCATCGCAAAACACATCCAGCACGAGATCCAAGCCAAACTCGAAGAACTCCGAAATGTCAGGAAGAGCGGATACCAGGTCCCCAACTATCAATTTGATTTCGTCTTCGATGATTCGGAGGTTCTTGTGGATGCAACTCATCTTTTGTTATGCTATATCGACCACAACTCTAGCGGCTTTGGAGCAGATCCAAACAAAGTCATAAACTTCTTGAAAGACTTCATTCCTGTTTTCTTTGGCATGGATCGTGAGGGCTTCAAAACATATCTCAGTGAGGTTTATGACACCACGCCGACCAGCGAGGAAGCTGAAGATGAAAGTCCCCCACCTGAAGATATTTCTACGATCCGATCTCGCAGAATTGCGAATGGCAAAAAATTAGATCTTTTACGCGATGTTCTCGAACGCCGCAATGAAAAGACTCCACGTATTGATAGAGATGTTAGTGTGCGCTCTGGCAGCAGAGCGTCCACACCGGGTATAGGAGCCCTTGTTCCATCCACCCCAATTCCAGACCCAACTGATCCATTCGACGTTGCTGAACTGAAGTGGATGGAGCATCCAAGCCAGGGAAATTTTAACCAACAGCGCGAAATTCCCTTGAACGAATCATACAAGAAAAAGTTCCATCATCTCTACTGCAACTTAAACATCTACTGCTTTATCCGCACGTTCGAAATTTTCTATAGCCGCCTTCTCCGCATTAAATTGTACGAGAAAGAGGCTCACGAAGCTGTGCGCAGAGCGATGGCTCCAAAGGCTGCCTACGACCTTGGGATGATCGACAAGTCTCCATCTGATCTCCTCTACGATACTGACCCAAAGTCCATTTTGTACCATCAGATCGTTCGCATGTGCGAGGAAGTGATCAAAGGAAACATCGATATGTCTCATATGGAAGAGACCCTGCGTCGGTTTTATTTGAAGACTGGCTGGCAGCTGTACAACTTAGACAAGATATTGAGTGGAATTTCTAGATATGCTGGCGGGATTTTTAATTTTGACCCTAAGGATAAGAGCTCCGATATCATCAATATCTTCTTTAAGGAGCGTGCCAAGGACACGACAACTCATAACCAAGAGATCCAATACCGGAAACAGATTGAGAAATTAATTAAGGAAGGGGATATTTACCGAGTTACCTTCGTAAGTGTTGAGCTTTCAAAAAAAAAAAAAAAAAAAAAAAAAAAAAGGCCTTAAGTAGGATGAAGCTAACTATCCCGTCATATTTAGATCCCTGCCACTAAGCATGTCACAGCTCAGCTTTTAACCGCTGAGGATGGTACTCTTGACAATGACGAGCTCAACGCAGAAGCTAGGTGGTCATACTATGTCTCTGCGTTCTCGATGCGCGACCCTACTGAAGGAGTTCCATTCTCACAAATGCGCATGCCTTTCTTGAGACGGAACCTCCCTGGCAAAATGGATTCTGATGAAGAATATAGCCTGTATTACAAGCCTCTCATCAACCATGACGGGCTGGTCATCCGGATATGCGCCAACAGCTATCATATTCTGTACGAACCTGGCACCGAGGATTGGTGGTATCGCCAGCCAAATCCGGAAGAGGATCCTACAGAGGCTGCGAGGGAGCGTGCTGCGGTCAAGGAAAGGCGCAAAGACCGGTTCAGAGAAAAGTTCGTCGACAACCCCAGCTGGGCGCAAGATTTCACGGATGAGGAGATTGACCAGTCAAACCAACAATTCCGATCGTGGGTCGGCGATACAAAGGTGCAAGAGGAGCCGACAACGACGCGTGGCGATCATCGTGGTAATTCTAGTAAAGATAGCGATACAGAGATGAAGGAAGATAAGGGCCAAAACGCAGACGAGGAAATGACCGACGCGGCTCCAGAAGTTCCAGCGGCATCGTAACGAACATGGTCAACATCGAAATGGGAGTTAGTTTGTGTTTTTCCTCCTTTCATCGTCTCTGCGCGCAGAATGTCGGCTTCTTTGTCCTTTCTCCTGTACTTACTTGTTTTTCATTATTCCTCTCGAATTGCTCTTTTCTTCTTGCTCTTGTTTGTTAATATTTATTTCAACTATTTCCTTTCCCTTGTCATCCACATCTTATCTCCTACACTGCTCAGCTAAATCTAAATCCTCCGCATACGGACAAGGTGTGGTGATATCGCTCGGTACTCTTCATGGATATGGGTTTAATTAATTACTGATATTGATTGGTCTATCGGCGAAGAAGTTCATTTCGGTGGAGGGAAACTTGAATACTGAATATGAGGGCCCTGGTACCTTTTTTATACCATTTCCTGTCTCGTGCATCCCATATTCTCCTCTCTATGCTGCTCCATTAGTATATCTTTGAACTTTTAGGACTGTTTGTAGTTCTAGTCCTCTTCGAACGGCTTCTTTTTCCTTTGCTGGATGACTTTTATGCCACTCCTCCTATTTCCTATTCTATTTTTCTTGTTTCTCTTTTGTGTTTATTCTAACTTGTTTCGAGTAAGCTTATACAGCTGTGTCGTCAATGCACCCCACAGGAGAGCAAGTGTTGAACATGTAGAAAGAAGATTGGGAAGGTCAGTTGATTGATTGGGAAGTTGGCTACTGCGTGGGCGTTTATATAGATAGTTAAACCTCTTCTTCTTTGTTCCATCACACGGCAGATCAAGAGGCGATCAGCTCACAGAGAAGCAAACACCAGAGAGCGGCCAACACCTTTCGGAAAATAGAGATATATCTAGTAATATCTATATTTACATATTTGAATGTAGACATAAGATTGCTTTCATTCTTATTTAAAAACTAGACTTTGATGCTGATCAGAAATACTGTATACACTTTCTGTGCTCAAGTGGCACTTTGTCAACGCTCTAGACGGCTTCCCTACAGCGCCCCACCTGCATTATAATCATCTACAGCGGATAATAATGTGAAAAATTCTTCACAGGGCTCGATCAACTTGACTATTGAATCCACCCACAATGTACCCG